AGGAATTCTGCTATATCCACTATAGAGTGTGGATAATAAGGAACAGATGCCGGTGATTTATGATGCTGTAATTCCACTGAGGGGTTCCAGGGATGTCAAACCACAAAAGCAAAGTCTGAGTGGTTCATGAAGTTACCTGAACACAGCAGAATTACAGCCCTGTCATGAAAACATTACCCTTTTTAAACATGTGTGAATGTACTGGTTTCTTTCCCCCCCATGCATCTTTTCTTCTCTCTATATGCTCCTTCAGCCTCTCAGCCAGCTCTCCTGCTTTTCCTCAAACCTCCTCTTCTCTCTGCAGGTACCTGATTTGGAAGTGTGAGTTAGTTTTCCAAAGGACCACCTGATTCTGAAAAGCAGTCTGGTTTTCTAAGAGGTTTTTCACAGCGGGTGCGAAACGTGGTGAATTCATTCAACATCTTTACAGCCTCCCAAAAAAGGATGCCAACGACATTCTGAGTAAACACAGTATTTTAAAGACAATTAACAAAAGACTCTGAATCCATGGGAACATTTTCACATGCCATTACCAAGGGCTGTTAATGTTATTGCTGGTTCTCTATACATTTGGCTGCACAGTCTATACAGTCCTGCCAACGACATGCCGAGACGCCTCAGAGGACCTTCATCATCTTCAGGACCCAAGACATCTTTATAAGGACATGCAGCCACCTCTTTGCTTTCTAGGGGGCTTTGGAGAGGAGGTGAACCTGTACAGTGGTGGCATAATAGCTCCTGGGGAAATCCTGGAGATTGCTGTCCCAAAGGCAGCCAAGCTCAGCTCCAGCTAAATGAGCTGCCTTGGGCACAGAACCCAAACCACGAAGATGGCTCTTGAAGAACCAACTTGTGAGTGTCTGCACCACGCTACTCCCACCTGCTCAGAGAGCACGCTGCTCAAATCCCTGCAGTTAATTATGGGGCCTTTGTACCCATGGAACAACTTACTCACAAATCAAGTTGGAGGAAAAAAAAAATTAAAAAATGAGTTTTCAGCTTAACCTCAACAAAAAGAAAAACCAACGACCAAAAGTTATTATCTTATGGCCTTCTGAAGCCAAGAATCCACCGAGCCCAAGTCTGTGTTTTACATCTCTACACTGGTCTCCCCAGTCTCCAAACCAGGAGACTAAAGATTAATATTTTTTAATAATAAATCTCAACAACAGTCAAGCAGTACGGTCTAATGAGCACAGGCCCCTATCTACTTACTACTGCCTCACTGAAATACTGATTGCTAAGAGACTGAAAATAAAAATCCCATCAACATATATGGCTTATGGTTATCATTACGTTGATTAGTTGTTTTAATTTGAGAATTTTGGCTATGATTCCCAGTTCCAGCACATAAAATTTTCCATTGAAAGCAGATTTTGGCATTCTTTGCATGAGATACAGTGGTTAGTGTTAACATGCAACCAAAAATTTTATGCAGGCAAATAAACTTACTTCCTTTTCTTTGGGCTGACTTCCAAAACACTGTTTTTAATATATGATGTACAAATGTCCCATAACACTGCTTTATATTAAACGCATGAGCCAGAAATGTCCTATGAGAACACTTCTTAGGTCAGTATTTTTCATTTGTTATTATTATTCATGCCTACATACCTACATGGAAATACAGAATCACCTACAACATATTTAATTTCTACAGAGGAAAACACTTCAGGAACAAAATGTAGCACGTCCTATTAAACGGTGTGAACACAGCGAGAAAGATTTATTCACTGGAGTCCTCTTAGGAACATCAGTTTCAGAAACATTTTGACCTCCTACTCAAAACACTGAACAGGGTAAATAAAACCATATGATAAAAGGAAGGTGCATGTGCTGCATTTTTTTCAGCTACCACATGTGGATGGACATTCCCAAGGATCTGAGCGAAGCCAGGCATTCAGGTAAGGTACAAATCAACAGAGCCAACCTCCCTTACACTTTCATTTCTGGCATATCTGTATTATACTACTTTTAGAGGCAGACTCCCTTTCTCCTCCTCCTCTTTGTGGGCAAACACACCCATCTAACTTCCTTTCTAGGATCCTTACTGCACTGCAACCAGGAGTATGACTGCAATTTGTAGATGAAACAGGATTAGAAGCTCATCCTGCTTTGGTAAAGCCCCACGAGGCTGCCAAGGACTCTGAAGCTACCAGGAGGTGATCAAGCTACTCAAAAATATTTACATTTGTGGGTTCTGCATTCACCTGTTGTAAATACAGCTTCAGACCAAAACAGTTTTCAGGTATATTGAAATCCAAATCACATTATTACCGTCAGTCTCCGTTCCTGTCGGTGTTTCTTTGGGTTTTGTACGGTGGGGCTGGGGGGTGTTTGTTTTTTTCAGGGGTTTAGGGAGGGTTGTTTGTTTTTTTTTACCTGAACCACTGTAAGAGGATGATGAAGGTGTTCGCCTTGAAAAGCTCTTCACAGCAAGACTCTGCCCGCGCTGTTTCCGCCTCCACGCCGTCCGGCATTTGGAGTCTATGCTCTGCTTGATTCGGTACCAGTCAGACTCTGTGATTGCAAATTTGTGAAAGAGGTGACCTGCAGTTAGAGAGAAACACAAAGGGGTGAAAAAAGGGGATGACATACCATCGTTAGATGACCTCTTCATCACTGAAGAGGTTAGACTTAGGTTAGAAATTATCAAGATCATCGCTCTGAGGGTGGTGAGACACTGGCACAGGTTGCCCAGGGATGTGGATGCTCCATCCCTGGAGGTGTTCAAGACCAGGTTGGATGGGGCTTTGAGCAACCTGGTCGAGTAAGAGGTGTCCTGCCCATGGCAGAGGGGTTTGAAACTAGATGATCTTTAAGGTCCTTTCCAGCCCAAACCATTCTATGATCACACACATAAAGCAACTCTGAAAATTTTAGAACTGCCCTCATGCTTGATGCTGCCTAAAAGAACACAAGATTACAAAGACACTAAAGCTCCACAGCAAAGTGATTTCAACAGCTACTCACAACATTAAGTCACCGTACATACACACAGTTGGGTATTTAAACATGTCAGCAGCCTATGACATTGTTTAATCTACACCTCTATCCATGGAAAGTGCACTTCCACACCCAATCTGTGCAACACTAACCAACAGGAGCATCCAGCACTCCAAAGCCAGAACTGAATGAAGGTTTATTTCTCCCCAACAATGCCCCAAGAATATGTGGAAGTCGGGTAAGTAGGAAGCCATATAAAGCTCCCTGTAAATAAACCTCTTTTTAAGCTCACTTCAAAATTCATTAGAATCCAATAAAAACAGAATACAAAATTAGAATCTTCTGAAAACGTTACTCCCAGTATAAAGTCGTTTCGAGAGCCACGTTATGCGCTTCCCAGCATTTGGTGCTAAGTTGCCAAATGTATATAAACACAATGATGTCTCCTGAGTTGAACTGAGTATTTTGAAATAAAGCTCCCTCAGACTGAGTCCCGCTGCCAGCTCAAAGCAGGTTCATTATCACATGCAACCTCTGCACCCCAGGGGGAAGGCTGTTTATACACACAGAGAGCTAAACGACTGTTTCAGGTATGACAAGAAATACTTGTTTCAACATCTGGACAAATGGCTTTCAAACTGGGGAGGAAACATGTTCTGCATTGTCAGCTATTCCAGGGTCCTCCTCATATTGCTACATACTTCTACCATTCCACTCTAAGCTTCAGAGTGGCTTATGTTTAGCTTAAAGCATCAACAGTTGAGAGCATTTGACTCTACGTTAAGAGTAATTTATAATCCTGAAGGCTGCAGAAGGAAAACAGAAACCCAAAAGTTTAAAACCGGTGAAATAGAACTATGTGAATATTTAATAATCTCTAAAATTTCAGTACTTCTAAACTGTCAAGATTTAGATGTGCAACACTGCAGCTAAAAACAGTCCAAAAGATCTGTGTAAGATTTTTCTTTTCCTTTTGGTATCAGTTGCTTTCCACATCCTGCAAAGTGAAATAATCTTTTCAGCCTACTGGGTTTTTGATCTTAAGTCTCAGACAGGATCCTGGTCCTGTGAGGTACTTGCTGAAGTTATAGTCCTATGAACAGGATATGGTCTGCTCCTGTAAGGCAACTGATTTAAAGCCTACAGCAGCAAAATTCCAGGTTCGTGCTAAGAGCTTTGTGCTTCCCCTTGTATTATAAAAGAGCCCAGAAAGTGAAATTTGCAGGTTACTGATCTAACAAAGGCAACTGGAATACTGTATCTCCTAAGACATCACCATTTTTGAAACATTTATCTTCTGATGCTCTAAATTTTTTAATAGATCTTTTTTAATAGATTTTATAAAAATCATTTTGAAATAATGTAGAGAACATACAGGAGGAAAACACTGGCATCAACAAGCTAATTCAAAAGTGCTTTAAAAGCCCCAAGATTTCTCACTGGCAAGCAACAGCAAGCACAGTACTTAGAGTTTGTCTTACAGCCCCCACACCGTGTCTCCAAAATGGGGGTAGGAGTAGGAAAGAAGGAAAATCAGCTGAAATTATAATCTGCTGCTGTGCAATAGCTTCCTTTCCATGGGTGTCAGCAAAAGCAAAGCACATTCTGCATTGTAAAGACTGAGCCCACATTTCTCTGTGTAATCTATCGCTAATACGCACTACACAGAGAAATGAGTTTATAAACGTTTGCAGTAATGTCCAATAAAAATAGTTGTGCTTTAACTCTTTACATGACTTCAGCTGTCAGTGCATACGAAGTACTTACGTAGTCCTACAGAAAACACAGTCATGTGCCCTGTGGTTATTTTGAAAAAAAAAATGTCCATATTTCATTCATAAATACATTTAATGACTTTCACATTGTATGCTACTCTGTTTAACTGAATCAACTGTAGGTCAGAGAAAGCTCTCATCGACAAGCAGTCTAGCTAGGAATTTAAACTGGGACAGTGTAATCCACAAGATGTTCCAGATGTCACTTAATTTAAAGAGAAATCAAAAGTAACATAAATTACTTGGGACAAGGCAGTCTCAGGTATAGTGAGCTGCTCATGCTAGGAGACCCAAGGCATGTAGAGCAAGAGCTTGAGAAAGACGAGTGCCAGAGCTGTGACATGAAATGTCCCAGAAATTCCTCTGTTGAGGAAATGCAGGAATAGACCTTTTACTTACTGATAACAAAAGCTGACATTTAATAATGTGGTAAGAAATGGCCATGACATACTGGATAAAGAGGCCACCACCTTCATGGAACAAACATGACTATAGAAGAAAGGAGAGAAAATCAATAACATGCTAAACAGGACAGAGTCAGAGAAGATGATTTTAGGGAAGAGAGACATACAACACCAGGCACAGATTTTCAAAGCTAGGCGTGCTTACTCCTTCTCCCTTATTCATAAAACTCCTACTTAGTTGTTACGGTGGTGGAAGGGGTGAAACACCTGCTGTTTGCACAGATTTCTACTGTAACTGCAGACTCAGTCACAGTAACTGCACCTGCAAATCAGGCGTGAAAAATTAGCCCTTAAGTACAAAGATAGTTGATATAAAGTTTAAATGAATTTCAGATGTATAAACCTAGCCAGTTGGTATTACAATCTGAAGTGTTATTCTACGAACAGGTCTTTAGCAACCACATTTCATAACAGTCCTCCAATGACTGAAGAAAAATCTAATGCTAACGACAGGGGAGTATTTTTTAAGTAGATAAAAAGTTCACCATAACATTAGAAATATGATTTACCTGTGACAGAGAGAGAGACATCCCAAAAACATGTGCAAACAATATTAGGAAACTGAAGCGTGCTGACTTAGTTCTCTATCCATAAACGATCGCATGCGGGAGAGCTTTCAGCTGTCTCTTTCTGAGCATGTCAAACACCAAAAAAAGTTAGAAAGGCAGCACTAAATACGCTGCAAATGAGACATTTAGCTTGGGAGAGTCCGTATGAGAAAAGACAGAAATACTTCAGTGAGAGGGGATTTGACTTTTTCGGCACATTTGCTAGTGAAAAGCAGCATGGAGCGTTGTAATTTGTAAGCAGCACCGTGTCTATGAGCCACATAACAACCCTGCTAAAAGCACGTAACAAGTACATTCAGCAACATAACTCAGCACTTTGGCAAAAAGACAACAGGATTTTGGAAGACAGATGCACTTATACAAGAAGAATGGGGGAAAGGATTTAAATCGTCTAAGGATGGCTGAGTGTGTTTTTAGTGGTCTTATTGTTCAGGACAGTGGATGGTCGCTGGTAACGTTTGAAACAAAGGACACGCTTGTTTTTGAACACTAAGGGTCCAAAGTTTGCTTTCTTTAGGAACCTTGCTTCCTAAACAAAGATTTCTATGAAAACACACTAGAGACTTAAAATAGCTCCATTATTAAATAAATTGCAAGAGCTTGAGTGATTTCTATAGACCAGGTACAGACTAGCAGCAGCTTGGGAGACAAAAACACCCGTGCAAAGAACTCGCTGAGACATGAGCTGTTCCAAAATGCACAAATTGGAAATCATTTTGGTTTGCAAGGAAGAATCAATATTCAAATGCTATCACACAAGAGGTCAGAAGGAAGGCGTGTGTGCACCAGGAAAATTTAAGAAGTCAGCTTTAAAAGCCAACAGGTGCCTCATACTAAGTTTCACCTCCCACATCCTAGATTAGAAGCATAGCACATTTTTGCCAAAGTTCCTACAACGCTAAAAAGACGACTGACAACAAGTTCTAGAATGTTTCTTGTGCACTGCAAAATAAATCTGTCTGGTTCAAAGGAAAAAACAGCTTGGAAACACAGTGAAGATGATCTGGTACAGACACAAAGATCAGCAGCAATGATCTCTGAAATGATTGTATACTCCCAAACTTTTTGGGCATCTAGAGTACAAAATAGGGAGAGAAAAGGTTGGGATTTTCTTTTAACAGGACTAATTAGATAAAAAAGAAACCCCCATGAAAACAATGTTCCTAAGAAATTAATCCTCTCTTTCTTAAATGTCAGAAGTCAGTCAGCAGACAAAATAAAACATTAAATTGTAAAGAAATGTAATTAAGAATTAATTGAGGAAGAAGACATTTGTAATATCAAAACCAGACATGAAATATTCCATCTTGATACTGCATTCAAAATCAGCCTCCTAACAAACTAACTTCCTGTCAATAGCTTGTTTCTGGATATTGCTGGGTTGTGCTGCTTCCCATTCTCCATGAATAGCAGATTTGTTTAGAAAATTAAAAAGTAAATTATTCTTTTCATGGCCTTGGCAGAGGTCCTTTTGGTGCCCTTTATACTGAGACAGCACAGCCTTTCCCTCTTTTACTGTTATGTTTTGGAAGATTAGGGAGAGTGTTCCCACCGGAGAATCCAACAGCCACATGTAGAGAATAAAGATGTATTTACATTAACTGTGAAAGCCAAGCAGGTTTAGTTAATTGCTCCTTCCATTTTCAAATTCAACATAATTATGGAAGTCTAGAGAAAAAGCTACATAGGATACGACATGCAAAATTCAAATGATTAAAATAATGAAGAGAATCTTTTTTTGAGTTGACAGGAGCATGGTGGATATTATGAAAAGCAAGGGCTTCAGAGTCTGCCTG